GCCCCACGCCTGGAGCTCTGCCTGGGGTTGTGGTGACCCCAGGGCAGGACCCGGCCCTTGGCCTTGTTGCCCCTCACCCAACTGGGCTGGGCCCATGGCTCCAGCCTGGCCAGGTCCCCCTGCAGAGCCCTCCTCCCCCCAGCAGACCCACACTCCCACCCAGCTCGGTGCCATCTGCAAACTGGCTGGGGGTGCCCTCAATCCCCTCGCCCAGGTCATGGATAAAGATGTTAAACAGAGCTGGGGCCAGCGCTGAGCCCTGGGGGACACCGCTTGGGACCGGCCACCAGCTGGGTTGAACTCCCTTCACCACCGCTCTCTGGGCCCGGCCATCAGGCAGTTTGTTACCCAGCGAAGGGCGCGCCTGTGCAGGCCATGTATTGGTAATTAGTATTAGTATTGGTAGTAACCACCAATTGTAGCATGGTTGATAAAAAGTAGTTGAAAGTGTTGAAATAAAAGTTAATTTTGCGTGTGTGCTGCCTGCGTTCCAGCAGTGTGTTAAGGACTCCTCAGCTTACAACAAATGTTGTGCTGGTCCTGCCAGAGCACACAACCCAAGGGGTCAGATACAACATCGCCGTACGCTGCTTGTGTCACCGTACGCTTTAAATTCTTCAGAAAGCTGAGCTTTGCAAGTTGCTGAGACCCATCCATTTTTACAGAGAGGAGTAGGACGGTGCTGCTGGTCGTGCCGGGGCTGTGTCCCTGCGCCCCATCGCCCCACGGGTTTTGTGCAGCTCCCAGCAGCGCCGTGGGTCTGGGCTGGGGCTCTCTGCCCTCCTCTCGGTTTGGGGCATGAAAGCAATCCCTGCGAGCCTGTGTGCAAATGGCGGTCGCGTAGCGTTGGGGACCCATTCCCAGGTGCTTGTTGTAGTTGAGTAGTCCTAAACCCTGAATTTGGGGCTAGAGTTAGTGCTGGCCTTGCTGTAGGACATAAGTACAGATTCAGTTTCTGTTGGCTTTGTACTGGTTTTGTACGGGAACGTGGAGGGGTAAGGTGTTTTATTCCCCAAACCTTCTGGTCTCTTCACCTGCTCCAGCATTAGGGGAAAGCCCAAGATAATTTCAGTATAAACTCACCCTTCTTAGAGATGCAGGAGGTGATGATTACGCTTTTGAAGGGATATGGGGGTCATAAAAAACCCTAAAATGTAGCTGTAGGTGCCGGGGGGGTGTGAGGTGATGCTGGCTGATGACCTGGCTGTATTCGGCCTCTCAGCCCGGAGCGCTGCTCGCGGATCCCCCAGCGAGGGGAGGATTCACACGAGTGCGGCATCCCAGCTCAAACTGAACTCTCGTCCATTTAGCGCCTTCCTCTCTCCCAGGGCAAAATGAGTCTCCATTACGCGTTGGCTCTGTTGGCATCTCGGAAAGAAACCTTTGGTTTACAGCTGGAGACTTAGTGCCACGAGGTGGAAGCTTCTGGTCCCCCTGTTCGTAAGGGGTTTATTTCTGTTGCCTTCGATTCTGACCCAGCGGTGCTGTTTGCGGTGGCTTCAGTCAGCCACGCGTGCTCAAGGAATCGTAATTTCCAAGCCTGCCTTCAGGATTTGGGATGCTTTAGTGGGCGTGATGTTACAAGGGACGATAGCATCGTGTGCAAGGGCTTTGTTCGGGCTCACCTCCGGCACCCGCCGGGCAGAAACGCCGTTTCCAAGCAGGATACTCCGAAGTTGCTTACCAGCAATCTGCCCCTGGGGTGTGCGTTTATCTCGCCAGGTCTCACCAGTCCTGCTGTGGGGACTGTGGAGAGCAGCATCGTTTCAGGCCCTTCTTCCCCTGATTTTCAGCTTGCTGCTTTGCTCTCCAGTGAAGGAGAAGCGATGGAGATTCAAAGAGAAGTGACTTAGGGACCGCTTGGACATAGTGTTGGCTTCTTATATTTTTTTTTTTTAAAGGGGAAATTTAATGGTTGTAGATCAGTGTCCTTTGTTCTCTTGAATTCAGCTGCCAAACACTTCAATTGCAAGTAAAAAGGCAAAGCTTTTTCAGTAGCAGTGATGTGAATTCTTCTGCTCTGAGTTTTCTTTAGTGGAAATTATAACGGGATCATTCAGTTCTGCGCTGGGCTCTCCGTGTACCCCATCAGCTCCCTCTCTGTGACTGATCAAGCCTTACCTAGGGCAGTCAGACGGGCTGAGGGATCCCGTCCCTCTCCATCCGTACACTCACCCTGCGCGGAGCGATGCGTGCCTGTGTCCGACTGTCGCGACGGCGGGGAGCTCTTCGCTCCGGGGTGTGGGAGTGGGTGTGAGCCTGACGCTGTCACCCTGGGTGCCCGGTTATCTCGCTACTGGCCGTTTTCTCTTTTCAGGGCAGAAGGTGGAATGAGGCGAGGCAATATGGGGCACCTCACCCGCATCGCCAATGCTGTAGTGCAGAACATGGAGAAGGGCCCCATGCAGACTCAAATTAGTGAGTTCATTAAAGGTACGTGCGCCTTTTCCCATTCCTTAGGTATTACAGAATCGTAGAACCATTAAGGCTGGAAAAGACCTCATCAAGTCCCACCACCAACCCAACACCCCCATGCCTACTAAACCATGTCCTGAAGTGCCACGTCTACACGTTTTTTGAAAACCTCCAGGGATGGCGACCCCACCCCCTCTCTGGGCAGCCCATTCCAATGCTTGTCCACTCTTTTAATAAAGAAATATTTCCTAATGTCCAATTGAAACCCCCCCTGGTGCAACTTGAGGCCATGTCCTCTCGTCCTATCACTTGTTACTTGGGAGAAGCGACGGCATTTTTTTCTCCCCTTGATTAAATAACCCTTGCGGGCCTTTTGGCAGTACTTTTATTGCATGTATTTCATGAGGATCCCTTCTATAATGGAAAGAATTTCCAGTTAAATATCACAGTTTTCCATAATCTAAAAAAACTTCCAGGCCAAATGCAGTTGCTCTTTGTTTTCATACAGTTACGTTGAAATTGTTGGAACTCTGTTTTTGCAGCTGGAGGCTGAAGGTACCCTTTTTGTGCTAAAGAATGCTTCTTTTCATCCGGATTCATGTGTACGTTTATAGTGCTCATTGCCAGCATTCAAGGGTGCTGGGACGAGCGGTGTTTCTGTACTTCCTTACTCTTATACCTGTCCGAGAGGAAAGAGAGACACCAGAGTGAATGATCCCGACATCTCCGCTTCTTGGAGATACTCAAATTGCTGAGCTTGTCCACTGTATCTTTATGGGACTTCATTAGGGAACTAGTCCTACCTGGCATTTTTGTGAGAGAGGAAATAAGATTTTCCATCTGTTAGGGGAAGCAGTGAGCACAAACAGGACTTTGGTTTCCATTGTTGGCATCTAACAAACATATCAAATGGTGGTACAGTAACTCAGCGTTGGCGTATCTACGTGACGAGGGAGAAGTCCTAAATACTTTAGTGAAGGCTGGAAGCTTCACAAGTCAGGGTTATTTCCCTCCGTTGTACTGCACTGGGGCTGGCTGGGATGGAGATAACTTTATTCGTGGCAGCCGCGCGGTGCCGTGGTTTGGATTTGTGACTGGAACGGGGTTGATAACACGTCGCTGTTTCAGCTGTTGCTGAGCAGCACTCGCACAGCGCCAAGGCTTTCTCTTTTACCCACGCCGTCTCCACCCTGGGGCCCGCCACGGTGGATGCGAGGCTGGGAGAGGACACGGAGCACATCCTGCTGTGGGGTGGAGCGAGTGAGCGGCTGGGTGGGTGCTTAGTCGCTGGCTGGGGTCAACCCACTACAACCACCATGGAAGGGAAGGAAGAAAAGAGTAAAACTCAAGTCACACGTGTGCCAGTTTTCAGCAAGCTCTAGTGGAAGTTTTGTACCTGTCATTCCGTAAGCGAGTTAAGCTTGTTAAGACCAGCGATATCTTTCTGGTTGGCCTAATGGAAGATGTTCCTTTCTCTGCAGAATTTACCAGTTTCAGAAAATCAGGAGTAAAATGCAATTCACCTTGCCGAGCACTCGCGTAATGCACACACCACTCAGCTCAGGTGCCTGCTCAGGTGCCTTGCACTGGGGCTTTGGCCCCTTCTCGTTGAGTTGTGGTAATCGTTCTGGTGACCTTTTTATTGCAGAGCTACCTGAAGACTGTAGAGGGAGATGGGAGAGTTTTGTAGAAGAGACGCTGACGGAAACAAACAGGAGGAATACGGTGGATTTGGTGAGAACCATGATATTGTGCATAGATCATACAGGCCTGCTACCTTCTGCACTTTCATTAATTAAAAAACAAGAAGGTGTTTTTTCTTGTTTTGCTTGGTTTTATGAAGCAGGCTTACAAAGGCAGAGTGTTTGGAGAAAACACACCCCGTTACAGTTCTTCCAGCAGCAGCTCTGCTGCGTGTTGGTAATGCCAGGTCATGTTGTGTCTTACTCACTGGGACAGTTTCTGCCTTCTGAAGAGTTTGGGCTTTGACTGTGTGTGTGGGACAGAAGTGGTTGAGCTTTCTTAGCTTTCACTTGGGCTTCTTTTTTGGTACTTTTTTCAGGTGAGCACTCACCATCTGCACTCTTCCAGCGAGGATGAAGACATTGAGAGTGCTTTTCCCAATGAACTTTCTCTCCAGCAGGTGAGTTGGCAACGCGCTCTTCACTCTCCCTGGGAACCCTGCTTCTCAATTTTTGCCCCTAACCCATCCCAGAATGGCACAGCTTCCTCAATTTTACCCGTAGTCAGTGTGTTCAGCCCTTTTGTGGTTTTCCAGCATAGTTATTTACATGGTCTAGACTCCGACCGGCAATAAATCTGGCTCAGACACATGACGTGTCTCACGTTTCTGCGAGGCACTGCGTACTTCTTGCTCTTCTCCTGGTTCCCTCCGCACGGGGGGCTGGGTGTCCCGACGCTGTAGACCAGCCGCAGTGAGTTGCTGTATTCCCCAGCCAACAAGGCGGCGTGCGTCACCCACCTGCAGGAGAACTGGGGCTGATGGGGGGGTTCTGCTTCCTCTTGGGCTACGCAGGCTTCTATTAAAACCTGAAAGAGCCATGCTAAAACATTAGCAGTAAGAGCAGTAAGAAGCCTTGACTTAGGAAGAAATGGAGGTCATTAAGGGTTTGCTTGCATTTAGCAAAGATCTCGGGATCCACAAAATTGGAGGTGCTCTGCTAAAGCTCCATCAGCTCTATGGAAGCTGTTTTTCGGGAAGGAACATTTACAGAAGTTCTTCCCACTTTTTTTGATGCTGAGAACATGAACAGCATTAGCAGGACACCCAAGTTGCAGCCTACTTAGCAGGGAGCTACCTATGGGGAGTAAAAAGACACTTCCAATCTGAAATCTAGTTAAGGGTCAAAACGAGCTGGAAATAGTTTATAGTTATTCTTTTGTCCAAATACTCGAACTGGCTACTCTGACACTGCAAGTACCTTTCTCTTCCTCAGCTGGTACTCAGAAAGCACATTAAAAAAGGGAAAATGCGTTGCCTTTGTAAAGAAAAAAATTGTTTGATCTTACCGTGACAAGTGTCAGCAGCAATATTGACAGGAGCCTGCAGAACTCCTCAGAGAGGAACGGGGAGCTTCTCGCCACCTGCAGCGGAGTCAGGACACGGTGCAGATGTTTGATGCGTGTTTGCATGACTTCGCCGTAGCTGGAGGGGGCTACCTACCCGTATCCAGAATTACCCTGCAAACAGGAGACATGGTCTGAACAAAACCCGCCATGTGCAAGAGCCAGCGTGAGGTTCTGTTGGAGGCAGAAGCAATCCTGTTCAGAAATGGAGAACGAGGCACGGATGAGCAGGCAGCAATGGGACCAAAAGCGTATCGGGGCAGTTATCCTGGGGGGCAAGCTGAAAAACAGAAGAGCCAAGCTGCTGTGGGAAACCAAACGGCTGACGGGGGGAACGTTGCCTCAAAGGCATACGGAGTCATTTTCCCATTCCTGGGGAATGTCCAGTTGGAGGCGCTGAACTTCAGGAGTGATTTGTATTGGCAAAAGGTCAGCTAGAGGGTAGCAGCGAGGATGAGAGAGTTGGGGGTGTTCAGCCTGGAGAAGAGAAGGCTGCGGGCAGAGCTGAGTGCGGCCGGTCAGGGCTTCAAGGGGGCCCAGAGGAAAGGGGGGGACAAGCTTTTTAGTAGGGCCAGCTGGGACAGGACAAGGGGGGATGGCTTTAAACTGAAGCAGGGGAGGTTTAGGCTGGATCTAAGGCAGAACTTCTTTCCAGTGAGGGTGGTGAAACCCTGGCAGGGGTTGCCCCGAGAGGGGGTGGAGGCCCCATCCCTGGGACCATTCCAGGCCAGGTTGGCCGGGGCTGTGAGCAACCTGATGTGGTTCAAGGTGTCCCTGGTCCTGCAGGGGGGTTGGGCTGGGTGACCTCTGGAGGTCCCTTCCCACCCAAAACATTCTATGATTCTGTGATTCTGTGATCAGTGGTGTGGAACATGACATAGGAAGAAAAGGTGAAAGAATTTGGTCCACTTGGTCAGGAGAAGCCAAGATTATGTGGAGACGTATGCCTCGGTCTACAAGGGAGAGGGGTTCAGAGGAAGTGAGAAGCTCTGTCATGATGTCCGCGCTGGGTTTAAGCTGCAGCAAGGTGAATTTCGTATTGCATTGGGGAAAACAAACAAATGAAAAACCCCAGTTCAGCGTTCTAATGGAATAAGGAAGCCAACAAATGGTCGCCTAGGGAAGTTTTGTACTCTCTTCGGAAGAAGTTAAGAGCAGATCAGAGAGGCATCTGTCCAGGACTCGTAGTCTGTTTGAAGCAGTCTGGGATCCTGCTCTGAAAAGGGGGTTGGAGTAGACAATTTCTCAAAGTTCGACAGTTTTCTATGATTTTAATGCTTTTTTGAATAGGTGCTTTCAGCCAGCTTGATTGAATACCTTTGGAGACCTTAACGACAGCTCTCTTTGTGTTCCCTTGCTCAGGCCTTCTCCGAGTACCAGATCCAGCAGATGACAGCTAACTTTGTGGATCAGTTTGGCTTTAACGATGAGGAGTTTGCAGACCAGGATGATAATATCAAGTAAGCTTCTAAAACTTCAAGAGGCTTGCATTTAGCATTTAGGCCTCTCTGCATCTCATCTTCTTCTGGTTCAGGCTTTAAAATGAACCTCACTGGGTACCTCCGCTGGTCTGAACCACACAGAAGACTGACCCATGGCTTGGACCTTTTTTATTTTTATAGGCATCCATTCCCGCTCTCCAAAGACTGTTATAGAACCTAGGAAAAGTGTTTCTGCACTTTGAAGAGAAACATTTTACATAAAACGCGCAGCTATTATCCAGCCCTGTTCTAGAATAAATGTAATTGCACCGAAAGCAAAGCATTAGAGCTGACTTCAGGCAATTACGCACGTATTCTCCAGCAGCGTTAAGTCCGTATTGAAATGAGGAGTAGACAGAATAGTGTTCTGATGAAGGCCACGGAAAAATGTAGCCATTTTCTCTCCAAGGAATAAGGAAACAGAGATAAGGCAGGAGGGAATAACCATTCAAAGACAGATACAGGTGGATTTAATGTTAGCGACTTTCTGAATTCGGTGTTCAGAAGTGAGGCTGCTTTTATAGAAGAGCTACTGTAATCTAATTAAAACTGCAGCTCATTCTCTCACCTTAAAATTGTAGCTAAGGGACTGTAATTATCCTGCTTGTCCCTAATGGTTCAGAAATGGTAATCATTTAGTATACATTTATTGACGGAGAAGTGCTCCAGGACGATACCCAGTGTGTTTTGCTCATTGATTTTGCCCATTCACCTTCATCTCGTGGCCATGTCCCTCTCGATCAAAGGACTCATTTGTCACCCGAGGTGACAGGGAGAGCGCGTGGCAGTACCTGCTGCACGTACCCTCCCGGGGCTGATACTCCTAGGCCAGCAAATGCCGGCTCTGCTCCGCAAAGAACTGCAGGATCCTGGTGTCCTGGAACCCTGACGGAAACGAGAGGCTTTTAGCCCAGAAAGTGCTGGGCCTGCCACATGGCACCGACTCCAGCTGCTCCAGGTCAGACTTACGGAGGATTCTTTTGCTGGTTCTGTTCAGATCATGTTTTTAGTAACTGTTGGGCTCCATGAAATACGGAATCACAGATTCGGTGAGGCTGGAGAAGACCTTTAAGATCACCAAGCCCAACCATTCCCGTAACCCTGCCATCCCACCACTGAACCCTGTCCCTAAAAGGTTGGACTTGATGATCTTAAAAGATCTTTTCCAACCAAAGAGTCCGAAGATCCCTAGGGCCTTAGGAACTCCGTTAAGGTGTTTGCCAAATAGCTGGGAGCTGTATTCTAACATGGAGAAAGATTCTGGAGTCCGGCTTTCCTGTCTTTTTTTCCTGAGCATTGTAGATGCCCAGAACTTTAATAAGACCAAAAAGTTCCAGACTAGAACGAGAGTTTAACTCAGATTACTTAGTTCCACACGTTTTTTTAAAAATAAAATACACTTTTAACTTAGGGGCTAGCAGTAACTATTGAACTGGCTGGTGCGTGTGTAGGTGGAGGGGGGGAGTTACCTGATGTGAGGGGCTGCTGAAGGCAGGCACTGTCCAGTTTAAAATGAACACGAAACTGCACAAAGTCTGTCACTGGGACGTGCTGTCCTCTGTATCTGTGACACCAAAGGGGGGATAAACTGCAGAACTGTTCCGGCACTGAAGATCCTTGAGAGTGGTGCTCCCCGTCACCCATTTTCCAGCTCTTGAAAACTGTTGCGGATACGACTTTGAACATTTTAAGAAGTATTAATCGTGTTCCAGTGTCCCAGTGGTTTGCATGACTGTATTTTTTACTAACTGAACAATCTTCTTTAAAAAAAAATAGCACTGTCCAAACTTGGAGATACGGGAAGCAATACTGCACTGACCCAGTAGGTTGGGGTTTGTTGGCCTGTAGCACCCTCTGCTGTTCTTACGATAGACGCTCTGAGGTCCCAATGAGCAATTGGGTTATTTAATGGCTTTTGCAGCATTCGCGTCTCAGTACCGCATCAGGGTTGTTGAGCTCCTGGTACGCTGAGCCCCCCTGACGTTACTGTCGTTACGGTGAAACAGGCAGGTGCAGCCCCATCTGGGTATTTCTGGTCTGTGCCCACCGTGCAGGATTCAGTCCCGCCGCGGGGTCTTGTCTCATGCTGAGGAGCCCAATGGAATTCTTGGGCGAACGTAGGACGGGAATCCTGGAGCAGCTGGGTGCAGCTCCCTCTCTTTTTACTTAATTATGCGTTTGGGGTTTTTTTTCCTGTAAGACCTAGTTCAGCTGGAGAGACCCAGTGAAAAAAATAAAAATCGCCTTGATGCTCCGTAGTTACCATGAGAGCTGCAACGTAGCAGCCAGCCATTGCTGTGCTTGCCGTGAAGCCTCTAAATACCCAATCAACCAGATAACGACAAGGGTTGTTCACTCGAGTATTGAATCAGACCTAAGAATAGAAATCCTACGTATTTTTTCAAATGTTCAAAACTACAAATCGTGCCTCTCACGGAGAGGAGGCCATTGCACGTAACAGGGAAGGGGGCAAAGGCAGGCGGCGTGGGGCGGTCGTGTGAAGTGTCTGTGGGTAGCTGTCCCCTGGCCTTCTGCTGGGGCGGTAAGGTCGCTTCCTGACTCCATGCCATCACTGAAGTTCCTTTCCCTTCTTTTTGCAGTGCGCCCTTCGACAGGATCGCAGAGATAAACTTCAATATAGACGCCGATGACGACAGCGTAAGTGGGTATTGGGGATATTGATTTAATAGGACAGATTCCAGTAAGGTGGTTCATGCTTCAATTGGCTGTTGTTGTTTTGAAAGAAAAAAGATTTGGTACGTTATTCTGGTAAATGAGAACTGGGAACTGGATTAGTAGCTGAG